CCCGACAATCCCTCGCTGGATGTGAGGAACTGCCACACATTGCACAAGTATGAAGGCGAACACACCAACCTGGCGGAAAGGCACACCTACCCTCATTCCAGGTGAGACAAACCTGAGAGGACCTCGGAACCCTGGCTGGGACTCCCTGCTGAGCTGGAGGCTGAAGGGCCAACAAAGCACACTCAGCAGATGAATGGTCACAGCCCTGACACACCCAGCAAAAAGTACCACTCCCCACACGTTGGCTCAAAATGGTAGAAGCCACCAAGCTAGGATGCAAGGTACCCCATGACAAAGAGTGATCCAGGGTCGCCTGCTGCCGAAAATGCCGGTCGTAATCCAACCAGCCCCGACTTCCATGATGAAGTGATTCCCAAACTAGGGACCTAGCATACACAAGGTGATCCCGGATAAACTGGTCCTGGACTAATACAGCCAGGTAGGTGAAAAAACAATAAATCCACGAGGGAAGAGTGGATACCACTCGGAGGCAAGGGCTAGCTGAAGATGGCAGAACCATGGGAAAGTAACCAGCCGACGACTCAAAATGCGTAATGTTATCACCCAGCAGCTTCCTGATCTCGACAAACTGGCCACTTTGGATCTTCTGCACCAGCCTTGCTGGGATAGGCTCAGCTGATAGAGACAAGGAGACACCAGGTGCAGCGGGAGGCCCTGGCACACCAAATGCCTGGGAGGGCAGCACAACAGGAGTATGATGGGATGACACAACAGGGTTGGCAGGGTCAGATGACAGGGGCATCCCCGATACTGGAACTGGAGCCATTGACTGAAGAGAAAGTGTTGTTGTTTGCTGCAGCGGAGATGCCGAAAGAAGAGGCACTGCTGCCACTGAAGCGGCGGAAGGCAGAATTCTCAAATGAGTGGGGAGTCCTGTAAGGAAACAAGGAGCTGTGGACACGCTGACAAAACCAAAAGAAAAGAAAAATCCAGGCAGCAGTGCATGCCATACACAAAGCTGACACACTACCCAGCCAACATACAACACCCCTTGCAACATCACAGAAGCAATGACCCCAACCCTCGCCAACATCAATAGCAACACCCTCCCAAAAAAACTAAACTGACAAAATAAGAGGTGTTAACCAGAAAGTTTAGACAGCCACATACCGTGGTTAGTAATGAAGCAACAAGATAAAAACAATAATAAGGGAGAGCACAAGACAGTGCTGCAATGGATTTGGCTAACAAAATCTTCCTGGATTGGGACCAAATTGCCAGGACATGCCCAACAATGGGTAACACAACCCGCGCCCCATACAAACAAACAAAACCACCTGTAAATAACAAAAACCAATACCCGTGGCAATACATACCCACAGCGACTAGCTTACCTACAACACCAACCGGAGAGCCAGATGATTGGTCAGCCAGGGGGCTGGGAAACGGGTCAGCAGGTGCCAATGGAGCACCAGACTGGTCCTGGATACCAGCTGGGGAGGCAGCAGCTAACTGCTGGTGAACCTCCTGGTGGATAAGAGCCAAAAACTCGGAAAGAGCCACTGAAGATGGACCAGGCTCCTGCACCACTGGTGCAGACACAGGAGGAGAGAGATCGGCTCTGGTGAGAGGCACACCACGACGAGGACGGCCGTGACCTTGCGATGGCAAAGTGGGACCTGCTCCGTCTAGAGACGCCCCACGACCAGAACCACATCCATGTCTGCCAGCCTGACGAGTTTTCGGCATGGCGAAGGCACAGCAAGTAACCAGAAGAAAGAAAGAAACAAAATTACACAGCCATGAACCAAAACTTGGCCACTCGAGCACTCAAATCAACACAACTGACCACGAGGATAACCACGCGAAGTGCCAGTGATGCCAATGATACAGTAATTCTTTACTTGCATAAGCAATATTACAAAATGTTTACATATTAAAGCAAGCAGTGATATTATTTGCTTTCTTGACATAATATCAAAAGAATAATGTACTGGTACTGAAGGATAAATCAGAAGTTTATTCTTTAAGAGTGAAAATTTTAATTGTATCTAATCCAAAATCTAATACATAAGTTATTTCTGATTATTTAAAATCATGATAAATGAAATGTATAATCAAATTCAAGTCAATATTAATTACATAATAATGAGTTTCCGATACTGAATAAGCAATAAAAAGTTTACTTCCAGGAAAATTTCCTTTTTCTGGGAAAAGCTGGAGGAAGCAAACCCTGTCGTGTGGATAAAGTATGATTATTAATCAAAACAATGCAAAAGACTTACTAATTCACTTTTTAAGGATATTATTTCTGATGTCTTTGAAGGTCTTTGATCTGCGAAAAGTTTTGTTGGTTATCTGTGTAACTTCAGTCTCCAAAAGGACAATTCTATCCAACTATGTAAGAAAATAGTAATTTGTGAGTTTGTATCTGTTATACAAACCTTTCCTTTTTTTGTAGTATCATCCATGATGATCAACACAAGAATCCTTAGAATGAACTATAGCAATAAAAGATTTTTAGGATCATATAGTGAACTATAAAAATCCAAGCCTTATATAAAATATATTATAAAAACAATTGCATCATATTTTTTACAACTACATGTAAGCAATATCCAATCATTATGACCTCATAATGATTCTAAATTTAGAAATGCTAAATTGTAAGACAA